TATATATATATATATATATATATATATATATATATATTCATATTTACATTTGTAACACATAATATGTACTACACATATGTGTAATATCATATATGTATATACACATATATATATCTATATCTATATCTATATTTATGATACTTGATATTGCAAAGTAACTATTCAGGATATTATTTTTAGGATGATAATCAGTTCGTTTGATGTGTACTTGATAATTATACCCTCGTGTACATTTGTATACATAAGGGTGCATATATATATCTCTATTTTATGCCTAACACTCACACATTTGTTCATGCACTATGGAAACAAATTTATGTTTCACTTCACTTTTAGCAATAACACTTTTGTACATAGAGCAGTATGTATCTATTATATCAAAAAAACGAGATATAGACAACAGTTTCACGTTTAACAGCAGAGCGATAAAATAAAACAGATCAGTCCCAACTGCCATCGCTTTCTGCTTCATCGAGTACATCTTCTGCATCAGAGATCATACTTTCATTCGACAAATCTGGCTCGTCTTCTAGGAACTCATCCCGATTTCTTTTGTTCAAGCCTAACTTGCGCTTCTTCGTTGTTAACGCAAGCTCGTCCTCTGGTGTTCGCTCCTTGCGGAACTCGTAGACTAGTGGATAAATGTGTTCAATTGCTGCTTGGACTGCAGCAACGTTAGGTGCTGTAAAATAGCATGTAAAAGTTGTATAATCAAGATTATACAAATTGCTTATTTACTGATAATCATCATTGAGCAAACAAACACATATAAATTTAATGTTTAATTCTTTAATATATTCGATGTTTCTTTTTGATGTAATTAAGCTTTTTAATCCAGCAATATATTATAAAACTGAAAGCAAAATACTAAAAAATACAAAAATATTGATTTATTTTGATGCAATAAAAAATTTGTATTTCTTACATTGAGAATTTATTGTTATGATTTTACATGATTGATATAAATTAAAAATCTTAATCATGAAGCTAGTTTCTCTACAAAATATGTAATACTAACCTGTTACAGTAACGCTTCCTGTAGAAAATATCTTTAGAGTAGCTTTAGGTTCTTTTAGCTTATATGTTACACCAGGATGTAATTCTGGTTCATAACTGTCATATAAAAAATATTTGTATTATCATGCCTTTATAAATTTATATCTAATCACTGATAAATACAATAATAATTAAACAATTTAAATACATCAGATTCATAATATATTTACATAACAAATTATATCAACTGGAAAAAAAATTTTAAATATTAAAAAGTTGATTAAATAATTCTTTAAATTAAAACAATTCTTTTAACAAATATATAATTTGTAATATATATTATTATACACACATTATGGTACGCACGCACGCACGCACGCACGCACGCA